TCCCAAAGTGCTGGAATTACAGGATTGAGCCACTATGCCTGGCCTATTTTAGCCTTTATTACCTGTTAATTTCTAAAGCCATTTCACTTAGTTGAAGTGACAGAAATATAGTTTTAGAGTTTTACTCCAAAATTTTATTTGTTGAATGCCTTCATACTATCCTGCCTATATGACTGAATTTATAGATTGTATGTAAACTTAGCCACCAAGTTGTCAATATGTTTTAGACTTACCATTTCTAAAATGGATGGTCGGCCTTCCAATTGGATATGAACACTGGCTTCTTTTCCACTTTCCATTTTCCCGAAATTACATAGGAAATTTAAACAATGTGGATCAGCTTTTATGCAGTACTTGAAAGGAATATAAAAGTGATACATTAAAATTTTCAACACTGGAAAATATTTTTAAAATATTTTATATATAATTTAATATATACTCTAATGGCATTTTGAAAATCATCTTTCCATAAATATGAAATTTAACATCTGCTTTCCTCAGTGGCGTTTAAATTATCTTTAAACAAGACATGAATGCTTATTTTCTAAATTATAATAAAGTATTTAAAGTAGAGCATATGTTCCTATTTGTATTAACAATCTTCTGGGACAGAATTTTTTTAAAAAATGTTCTAATCAGAGTCTTGCTAAGTTACATATTCTATGTTTGTTGTAAAACGTGGATCATTTCAAGGTGATGACTGTTTCTCCAGTTTCTTTTCATACATTCACTAAGCTGAAAAGAATGAAAATTAACCCATGCCACAAAGGCTGCCCAGGTGAAGACAACATCTTGGTGTCTTGAAGGGTTTGGAACAATGTTTTGTTGGCAAATAGTGGGCATTTGTTAGATAAAAAAATGAAACTGTATAACTTTTTTTTTCTTTTTGATATGGAGTCTTGCTCTGTCGCCCAGGCTGGAGTGCAGTGGCATGATCTTGGCTCACTGCAACCTCCACCTCCCGGATTCAAGCAATTCTCCTGCCTCAGCCTCCCACGTAGCTGGGATTACAGGCACCTGCCACCACACCTGGCTGATTTTTGTATTTTTAGTAGAGACGGGGTTTCACTCTGTTGTCCAGGCTGGTCTCAAACTCCTGACCTTGTGATCTGCTCACCTTGGCCTCCCAAAGTGCTTACAGGCATGAGCCACCATGCCCAGCTAACATATTTATATATGGGATAGACCCTAGGTCTTTCTCAACTCTCCAACCGTGCTTGTTCCTTCCATGCAAGAATACTACCTAAACTTGGCTTCTCTTTTATTGAAGTGACAGCTCAAACCCATTGACTTGATTTTAAGTGTTTCAGTTCTCTGTTGGAAAGCAGGAACTACAACCTGAAAAACGGAAACTTACCAATAGCCTCTTATCAGTCTTAGACAAGAACTGGAACATGCCTTTCAAGGTGTGCATTGCACTCTTTTGCTGCTCTAATGCACATACTCTTTGATAATTTTCAAAGTGGCATTCTCCAGTAGTAGTCTATGAAGATAGAAAGGAAGAGAAATCTTATCTTTCATCATTGGAAAAAACAGCAAAAAGCAACATGGTTTTAAAAGTTCCACTAGCTTATCTTTGCTAAAATATATCAAGTACCTTTGAAATTGTAGAATTTTTTTTTTTTTGACAGATTTGGAAGTGATTAAATGTCTGTGGCAGAAACACAAAAACCCAGCTGAATTATAGAAGGTTGGATATAGGTTCTAAGCTGATAACATGGCCTTAAACCTTGCAGAAATGTAAAAATTAATATTGGAACATTAGCATGATATTAAATATTTCTTTTCCTTTATAGGAGAAACAATATAACACCATATTCTTCTCTCTGAATCCGGAATTTAAGTAGGATTTTAAAATCAGACCTCAAACGTACTTAGATTTGTTGACTTCTGTCTTCAACCTGGCAAGCTCAAAACAATTCTGATGGAACCATCAATGAAAGAATATTGGTTCTTAAGAAGTGGTTTGAATAGTGCTTCCTTCAAAAAAAGGCTATAATCCTCATATTTGCACAGTAGTTTCAAGTGCTATGAAGAAGTCTACCAATCAAGTTACTTCTGTAGGTCCATATCACACAAAAATGTATCTTAAAATAATTATTCAATGGAGATGGTAGAATATGGTTCTGTTATTTAAATCGAATGTAAAAGTTGCACTGTAAATCTATAGCTGTAATGAAATATATAATATTCAAAGCATAACTCAATAAATGCATGGTGAATTCATAGCTTACAGTGTGACTGAAAAGAGTTATCCATTTTCGCATTATTACTTGAATAAAGGATTGGTTTGCATTTATTTTAGTATTTAAGACATACAATAAAGGTCAGGTGGAAGAAATACATTTTTACCTGGACATCCAAAATGTTGAACAGCTTATCAGTTTGGGGGCTGAAAGAATTTGGTACCATTATTTCCACACTAACATTAGGAGCCATGCTATTGCCAGTGTTGATAACCTGGTAAGAAGGAAAAATTTTTAACAAATGTTTTCTATAAATGTAAGTGCAGATATCAATGAACTTTGAGGTGATCCCATATATTCCGTGCAACATTTATAGTGGTGGAGGTTTATAGTTGGCAGCTGCACAAAAAAGGGAGACAAGATATCCATAGTCAGAATTTTTAAAGTTTGCTAATTTTGAATGAGTCATTATATCTAACCTTCTAGTTTTGGTATTGTTGAAAACAAAAAGTACAGGCTGATGGTTTATTGGAGAAACAGTCTTAGGAGACAAACAATATATATTTTTATGTTACATTACATATTTTAAAAATATTTGGTTCTCATGAGGTGGGCCAACATTTTGGTATTCACCAGCTAAGGGAAATGCTAACAGATGTTCTTAGAGTTCCCAAGACAAAAGTTAAAAAGAGTTATGACCAAAACTCAGATATTGTAATTCTAAATCCTATGATGTTATTGCAAAAGCATTCTGTGCTGAGAGGATAATCAGCAGGAGAAAGTGAATAAAAATGTATTTTTATTCAGGATCTATATGCTGATGCATTCAGAAAAAAGTATGTTGTTGGGTTTTGAGAAAGCACAACAGGTTTTTAACAATACTTGTCAAAAAATGCATAACAGGATGATAAATCTGGGGATTGAAGATTCCTGAAAAGGGAAATGGGGCCAAAATATAGCCTACCGAACTGGCAGCTTAACTATAAAACCAATACAGTAAGTCAGAAAGAGATGCATCCCAATACCTCGATTAAAAAATGACCTGCAGACCTGCAGTCATTTTATGAACACGTGACAAAGATGAAGAAAGTGTCTCCAGATTGGGAACAGGTGGTAATTGCTAATCCATAAAAGAACAGGGCAGTTGCAGAAGGAAATGTCAGCAACAGATACCTAGCAGTGCCCAGTACTACAGACAAGGTCTTCTCGATGCCATTAAATATAAATCTAAATCACAAACATCTCTGTTTGCCTAACAACAATTAAACCTCTAAGAATATCTACATAGTTGGCTAGACACAGAAATCCTATATACCACAAGTTTCTCTAGTCCCAGCCACTACATTATAAATTTAGTAGCAAATACTTAACTATTAATTGTAAATTAATAAATCATCTAGAGTACAGTTTGGTTTCTGTTTTAGTTTATCAAAGCACAAACTCCCATTGGGTTTTAAAGAGCATTTCATAGGACTTCAAAGTGGAGGAGGACTAAAATTTTTCAACATTAGTATCAACTAGTATAACAAAAATTGGAATATACATAGAGTCAACAGGATTTCAAGGTCATTTTTTTTCCACAGATCTGGGGCAGGGCCCAGGAATTTGCATTTTGGATAGGTACCCCAAGTGATTCTAATACGCATTTTGAAAAGCATTGTCTTACAAAATATTATACCTAATCCAAGATTTACTCGCATATATAGATTATAAGAATGCTTGGACAGTGCTTTTGGTTCAAAGAATTCTTTTTTGGAAATTACTAATCACCAATATCTTTGATACAACAAAAATATCAGTTTGACAGCAAAAATGTTTTTAATTTAGGTTTACATCAGTCTCCGAATACTTCTGAATTATGATAGTACTCTTTACTTTAAAAGGTTACTTAATAATTGATAAAGCGCTTGTCACAGGTCATAAACTTATGGCTTGAAAGGCCGACCAATGTGATCTTAAATGGAGATGGGAGGTAAAAGCCTCCTTTACTTTGTAGTGTTGAGGTTTTTATAAGCTTGAACCAAGAAGAAATTTCACTGATTTGCACCCAAAGATGCCTTCCCTTGGCCTGTCCTGCTTTCTGTGTGCGTCCCTAGCAAATTCAGCTCACCCCATAACTTTGCCTGTTTCAAGGCATTCTCTCTGTTCCTGCATGCTGTTTCTCACCTGTCCTGTAAGGAGACATGGGCTTGAATACCAGAGACAAGACAAGTGGAAGGAAAGCAGTAGGGGTCTGAGAGGCAGGAGTACCACTGCTGCAGCCCCATTCCAGCCAGCCGTGGTCTACAGAGGCTGAGGGATATCACAGGTGTACAATGTCGCTTGGAGCAATGCGTCAGTGATAGCCTTTTAGGTTGTTACAAATATCAACACAATTAACTTTTCTTACATGGAAAGTTAAGTTCATTTTCTCCACCATGCACATTTCAGGCTCATTTTCATCATTTGATCCATACACAAATGAAGTTGGGTTTACAAACCTGGTAGAAACAAATTCAAATTTAATTAACTATCTTATTTGACAACATATTATAAAGAGTCTTTCTATAGATTGGATTATAGCATATTTAAAAGTCACCATGGAATACTTTTGGTTTTGTGGTCATATATACATTTTATTTAAAAAGAAATTAAATTGTGGCCGGGCATGGTCGCTCATGACTGTAATCCCAGCACTTTGGGATGCCAAGGTGGGCGCATCACCTGAGGTCAGGAGTTTGAGGGCAGTCTGGCCAACATGACGAAACCCCATCTCTACTAAAAATACAAAAAAACTTAGCTGGGCGTGGTGGTGCATGCCTGTAGTCCCAGCTACTCGGGAGGCTGAGGCAGGAGAATCACTTGAACCCGAGAAGTGGAGGTTGCAGTGAGCTGAAGTCACACCACTGCCCTTCAGCATGGGCAATAGAGTTAGACTCTATCTCAAAAAAAAAAAAAAAAAAA